TGCTGACATTGTGTCAATCCGTCTCTCTGGGGGGTCTTCCTGTTCTTAAAATTCGCTGATTAATATTTATTTCTGAAGTGTGTCACACTAGTTTGCTTAATAGAACTATATAAAAATGTAGCCCGAAAAAATCCCATGTACCTTCTCAGCTAATCTTATATTTAAACCAAACCATACCCACTGCCATTAAGTCCATTCAGATCTGTACCTCCCCATGTAAGGCTATGGCAGATTGTAAATCTTAATTTGAGCAGTCAGATTCATCTTTCTTTCTTGGAGCAGTGAGTGGGTTTGAACTGACACCCTGTGGCTAGCAGCCCAACACCTAACTGAGAAAGTTACCAGATATCCTATTCTTATGTTTGTTGTTGTGGTTGTTCTTGTTAAGTGCCAGTGAGTCGGTTCTGACTCATAATGACCTCATATAGGGTTTCACATATTTCTTTCTGAGCTGTTCATATTCACCACTTTGAAGTTAGCAATCCAGCACTTATCCTACTGTACCACACCAGGAGTCTATCCTTATTTTTGTTGTTGTTAAGTGTTGTTGAATCAATTCCAACTTGGTGTGACTCTATGCGGAACAGAATGAGTTCTGTACCATCCTCAGGATGGTGGTTACGCTTAGGCCCTTTGTTGCTGCCACGGTGTCCATCCATCTTGCTCAGAGTCTTCCTCTTTTTTGCTGACCCTCCATTTCACCTAGCATGTTGTCCTTCTCTAGGGACCGGTCCCTCCTGATAACATGTCCCAAGTATAAAAGATGTAGTCTTCTCATCCTGGCTTCTAAGGATCATTCTGGCTGCATTTCTTCCAACACAGATTTGATTCTGGCTGCACTTTTTTCCAATACAGATTTGTTTGTTCTCCGGAAGTCCATGGTACTTTTAATATTCTTCTCCAACACAATAATTCAAATTCATCAGTTCTTTTATGGTCTTCCTTATTCACTGTCCAACTTTCACATACATATGTTGTTGTTGTTGTTGAGTGCCATCGAGTCGGGTCCGACCCATAGCGACCCTGTACAGGGTTTCCGAGGGTGTAAATCTTTACGGGAGTAGAAAGCCTCATCTTTCTCCCGCGGAGCGGCTGGTAGTTTCGAACCGCTGACCTTAAGGTTCGCAGCCCGATTCGTAACCACTACGCTACCAGAGCTCCTTTCACATACATATGAGGTGACTGAAAATACCATGTGGTTTGATACTCCAAAATAAAGAATAAACTAAGAAAACATCACAGAACAAACTTAAATATATCTTCTATGATAAAAATGTATTGTCTTCAGTTACTGAAGGATAAAACTTATAGAAATAGAATACTCAGCATTACTATTGAGGAGTGCAGTGGTACAATGGTAAGCATTCAGTTAATAACCAAAAAGGTGGCCCTGCAGCATAAAGACCTGGCAATCTGCTTCCCTAAGGATGACAGCCAGGACAACCCTGCAGGACTGTTCTACTCTATTGCATGGGGTTTCTATAAATCAGAATCAACTCAACAGCACACAACAACAACAACATTATTACTATTCGTTTGCTGTTGTTGTTGTATGATGTAGAATCGGTTCTGACTCCTAGTGACCCTGTATATGGATTCTGAGGAACGGCTGTAGGTTTGAACTGTCAACCTTGTGGTTAGCAATTCACAGCATATCCTATAGTACCATACCAGGTCTCCTATTATGAGTTTGGGCACCCATAATAAACCTCTTCTGCTTATGCCAAAATTCAATGTATCCAGCTGAGGAATCTTCCATTATCACACGGAAAAAGTCTTCACTGCAAGAGACAAAACAGCCCAGCACCTCATTAAATACCAGTCCATTTGACCACAATCTATGTTCAAGAAGACAGATCACAGAAAAATTACATGGCTATTTTTAAATATTTAAAGAAAAACAGAACTTCCATCTTCCATTGTATATAATGACTACTTGAAAATAACTTCGTAACATATGTCATGCCATTAAAGCCTATTAATTTCACTGGAAATGAAACATGAGGTAACAAAATGTCCGCACATATAATCAGTAAAATTTCCAACACACATAAAAAAGAAGCAGACTTTATGTACATCGAAAGTAACACTTCCCTTAAACAATATTTTTTATAATGTCTCAAGTAAATGGAGTGGAAACGTTTTTTCTTGCACATATAATGAGGGTAAACATTGCTAGGCTTCTTCAATAATATATCACTTAACAACAGACTTTTATTTCTCCAATCAACAGAGGAAAAAAAAAAAAAATTCCTCTATGCCTCTAAAACAAGCCTGAGATGCAGACCTCAGCTCAAAGAGCAAGTCAAGGAGTTGCTGGGAAAGATATTTCCACTGGCCTTATTTGAAGATGAAGGTCAGTGGTAATGACACAGTCAGTAAGCACAAATTCCAACAAGAGCAAAGTCTCTTATGTACAGCTTATGAAATGTTCGATGACATAGTGAGATGATTATGCTGCCATGATGCTCAGCACAGATGCACTGTTTATATGCAAAATGGACATCTCATGCCAACTAGTTTCAGTTTTGATAATTCAGACATATATCATATTTGGGTACACTAACCACTGAGTCTTGGCACTGAAGGATAAGCAAGGGATTGCTAACCACAAGGTCGATGGTTCAAATTCAACTATTCCTCAGAAACCCTATTCAGAGTCTCTGTGAGTCAGAACTAACATGATGACACTTCAAGACCCACCTCCATCACCACTGCCCTGGTGGTGCAGCGGCTACATGCTCAGCTGATAATTAAAAGGCCAGTAGTTAGAACCCACCAAGTGCTCAGTGGAAGAACTATGTGGTAGTGTGCTTCTGTAAAGACTGACAGGCTTGGAAACCCTATGACACAATTATACTCTGTCTGACAGGTACTGTGAAGCAGAATTAACTCATCAGAACTGAGTTTTGGAAGCAGTGGATATTCCCTTCAAATAAAGAATGAAATCCTATAGTATTGACAATATGTAAGGCACCTTCTTGATTCTGTGTTCATTTAGCTAAATAAGTGATGTCAGGAGTTGAGAGGGCAAGGTTTACTTTTCTAAGTATTTATTCTCAGAACAAGAAACACTCACGCCACATCTGCCCACCCATCAAGCAAAGGTTCTGGTTGCTAAGACTCCTGACATCTGTACTCTCCACCTATATATATATATTCTCTACCAAGATGGTTTCTCCATCTCTGATATGCTGTCCGTGGGTGGAGAGCCGATGACTCCGCCTGAAGTGCTTTATGTAATATACTATGGAAAAACTTAAAACTATTTACATCTAAACAAAGAATGTGGTCTTTCAATTACGTTGATTTCTCCTAAGATTATTATCTTGGCCTTACTGATTTTATTTATTTATTTTTTCTGAGTTTGTATTGTGAATTACATGAGAGAACCTCAGCTTTACACTCATCCTGTCGTATTTTGTTTCATTGCAATGATTATCCTCCCCTCCATGCATCATCAAATAACCAAAGTATACACCCCACAAGCCCACCCCCCCACCAGCTATCAGCACACAGCCCCTCTCCCTCCCTGAGTCCCATGTCTCCAGCCACTCCATCTGTCCACGTCATCATCTCTGTCTCCATGTCTGATGTCACTGCCTCTCTGGGTAGGGTCCCGCTCTCTGTTCTTCTCACTTGATGGTCCCACGGACCTCAGCTCCTGGATTGCCTTACTGATTTTTATGGCACATATAATTTTCTGGTTCTTAATTGCTTTCACACCTAGTCTCTAATATTTTTAATTTTTAGGTTAATTTAACAAGTGTTTATTGACTTCCTACAACGGGCCTGGTATTGTGCTAGTTACCATACTCAATCACTCAATGACATAGGTCACCGTCAGTCAGCTATAAAGTAATAAATGGTTCTGAAAAAACTCAATTGTGTAATATTAGGGCTTGTACTATTCTGAAATTAACTAAATGCCTAGGGTGTTCCCAAGCTAGTAAAATGGCAGAGCTGGGGTTCACACTCTTAGGTAGTCAGCTATGAATCCTGATTCTCTACCATTCTCTTCCTGCTTGGACTGGCACTAGCCATCTGATGGCAGTTTCCTGTTATGACATAAATACCAGTGGGAACAAAACTGGACCATATTCCTCATTACATCTTCCGGGTCCGTGGCAACAATTCAAGGAATCATCGTTAGATGACACTCATCTGAGGAAACTTAACTAGAAGAATGCTGAGGCTGTAGGTCCTCACCTCCACTCCCTGCCTGCCCTTCTCCTTGCTTTCCCATACGCTGAAGGAGGTCAGAAACGTTGTTACTCAGCACACTTCAGGGTGAAGGACAGATAGCAGTAGACAACACTTTCCATTTTTAGGCTCATTGTTAGGTTTTAACCATACATCCTTGAATAATAGCACACAAAATTTGTATCATCATTTTATGATCACTATCATTTGATGTATTCATTGTAAACACCTGTTGAAAATGTTTTTTTTTTCTCTAAATGTCGACATTTTATCTTTCTGACTTGGGTATCTTAAGCTAGAAAGAAGGCTGCTTAAAAGTGGATGGGATTTCCTGGAATTGGATACAAGATATTCTTGGATATTTCAACCAAAGTGTGATTGTTTAACTGGGTTCTAACATCATTTACTGGAGTTATAGTGAAACAGATTACCAAACACATTATTGGTTGCCCAAAGATAGAAAATTTTACTGTTTATTTTTCTTTGCCTATTCTTTTTTTCCTTTCCATCCAGATAGATTTAAATCAAGTGACAGATTATTTCCATACAACTAATTCTGGAAAGAAGCGATTGTTGAGATTTAGGAAATATGCATTGTAAGATTTTAAAGAAAATAGTCAGGACATTATCACTTGATAAAGATGATCACATTCTGTTTGGGAGACACTCTTAATTAATTCCAAGTTTGTAAATGCTACCCTTTGCTATCTATTAAGAGCTGTGGACACTTTTCTCCAATTAATGTTTATACTTAGCCAAAAGTACTGTCCAATTTCACAAAGTACAAGAGTACTCACTTGCTTAGCCTTGGTCTTTGTGATGGTGTCGGAAATTGGTTTCTTTCTCTCCTTTACAGCAGTTTTAGAAAATAATTCCTCAAATTCATGACAATCTATGGATGGTTCTTCAATTTTTTCCCAAATAAGTGAAGGACTGGAATCTCTAAAGTTAAGCAAAAGACCAAAGAAGAACCATCATATTTAACTGAAAGATAACATGATGAGCATAAACAGAAAGGAAGGAATCAGGACAGAGGAGAAAAAAAATTAAAGGAATTTAGGAAAGAAGGAAAGGGGAGAGAAGGGTAGGAAGGTGTAGAGAGAGAGAAGAAAGGATAAAGATGGCAGAGAAAGGAAGGAGGGGAACAAAGGAGGAAAGGAAGGGGCATGGAGATCAACAGGAAAGTAGACTGTATTAAAAAAAAAAAAAAAAAAAAACTCAATGAGAAAGTTAAAATGCCATCAAATACGTAAGGAAGCATTTACCTAGAAATAATTACTTTCAGTCATTATCCAAGTTATAAAGTTACTGTATAAACTTCTTTTTACAAAAACTTTCTCTCAATATGGGCTACTAAGGGAATATAGGCTTGATTTCCAATAATTCCAACTTGAGTCACCAACTATGTGAATTATTTATAGATTAAGATCTATACTTACAAAAAAGCATAGGACTGCTTGTGAAGGTTGGAAATGTAAAGGTAGACGATTTGTAGCAAGGAGGGGAGTGATTAACTTTTCAGTCTGGGAGCAGAGGTCCCTGGGACCATTAAGGGAGAAGAGCAGAGACCGGGACCCTACCCAGAGAAGCAGTGTTGCCTGAGATGGAGGCAGAGATGATGACGTGGAGAGATGGAGCTGTTGGGGACTTTAGACACAGAGAGGGAGAGGGGCTGTGTGCTGATGAGGGAGGAGGGCGCTTGTAGTGTATACCCTCTGGTTGGATGATAATGCATGGAGGGGATTGTAACCATGGCAATGAAACAATATACAATAGGATGAATGTAAAATTAATGTAAACTATCACATAATTCACAATAAAACATTAAAAAAAAAAAGCATCCTACCACATCTCCCTACTACCTCTTACTACCCCACTGTCATTTAATTTATTAGTGACAACAGATATATTTAATAGCATCTAAAAAGAAAAACATATTGAAAAAGTAGATTCATTTAAAAAGAAAACTAGCAATGAAGCAAAAGAATGCCATATATACGGTGGGTAATGACTTGGGAGTACATGTTAAAAAGACTTCATCAGCATGTACATGAGACTGCAATTGCACATTGATTAGGCTACAAAGTAAGAAACCAGAAATAAACATTCATCTTCACTAATATGATTCAATAAAGAAAAATTAAATATAAGAAATGAAAATACACCTAGTAAAATATCCTGTTTCAAAAATCACACTACATCAAGCAAAAAAAAAAAAAAAAAGTCAAATCATGAAAAATACCCTCAGCAAGGCCAGTGTAAAAGTTAAGGTTCTGTGTCAACTGGACTAGACCAGGATGCTCAGGGGGTTGGCAGTTAAGATATAGTCATCCCCCATAATGAGCTCTAATAGAATGGAATCATTTTCACAATGAGCTCATCCACAAACTGTCAAGTCAAATGGAAGGAAGTCTCCTCTAAGATATGGCCTGCAGCATTTTTTAGTTTACAAAGGTAAAGCAAGACACAAGTGATCAGAGACAAAGGGACCTATTACCACCAAAAAAGAGGATTCCGGAATGTAGTGCACCCTTTGGACCGAGATACCTGTATTGTGAAGCTCCTAGATCCATGGAAAAGTTGGCATGAAGACATAAGCATCTCCCAGTAATGCTGAACCTACAGATGCTCAAAAAACAGAGAGAGCTTTCTACAAAATCAGTGCCCTGAATATAGACTTCTAGCCTCCGAAGCTGGGAATTAATAAATTTCTATGCTTTGAAGCCATAGAAAGGGTAGGAAGGTGTAGAGAGAGAAAAGAAAGATTGTAAGATTTCTGTTATAGAGCCACTAGATAACTAAGACAGAATTTGGTACTGGGAGCGGGATGCTGCTCTAACAGATGCCTCAAATGCAGAAACAGATTTTGTATTTGATAGTGAGCAGAGGCTTGAAGAATACTAATCTAGTTAATAGTAAAAGCCTAGATTGACTACAAAATACTGTTAGCGGAATTATGGATGTCCAAGACCATGCTGACTGATTGGAAGAGATCCATATTTGTGCCCATTCTAAACAGAGGTGACCCAATGGAATGCGGAAATCATTGGACAATCTCTTTGATATCTCATGCGAGTAAAGTTTTGCTAAAGGTAATACAGAAATGGCTACAATCATACACTGACCGAGAACTTCCAGAGGTTCAAGCCAGATTCAGAAGGGCTGTGGAATGAGGGATATCACTGCTGATGTCTGATAGATCTTGGCTGAAAGCAGAGAATATCAGAAAGATGTTTACCTGTGCTTTGTTGACTATGCAAAGGCTTTCATTTGTGTGGATCATGACAATCTATGGACAACATTGCGAAGTATGAGTATTCCGAAACACTTAATTGTGCTCATGAGGAATCTGTACCTGGACCAAAAAGCAGCTTTTCGAACAGAACATGGGGACACTGAATGGTTTAAAACTAAAAAAGTGTGCGACACGGTTGTATTCTTTCACTATACTTATTCAACCTGTATGCTGAGCAAATAATCCGAGAAGCTGGCTTGTATGAAGAAAAACATGGCATCAGGATTGGAGGAAGACTCATTAACAACCTGTGATAAGTAGATGGTATACCCTTGCTTGTGGAAAGTGAAGAGGACTTAAAACATTTACTGATGAAGATCAAAGAGCACAGCCTTCGGTATGGATTACATCTCAATGTCAAGAAAACAAAAATCCTCACCACTGGACAACAACATTCTTATCAACGGAGAAAAGATTGAAGTTGTCAAGGACTTTATTCTTCTTGGATCAATTTTCAACACTCATGGAAGCAGCAGTCAAGAAATCAGACGACGTATTTCATTAAGCAAATCTGCTGCACAAAACCTTTTTAAAGTGTTGAAGAACAAAGATGTCAGCTTGAGGACTAAGGTGTGCCTGACCCAAGCTATGGTATTTTCAATAATCTCATATGCATGCAAAAGCTGGACAGTGAATAAGGAAGACAGTAGAAGAATTGATTCTTTTGAGTTATGGTGTTGGAGGAGAATATTGAAAGTGTCATGAGCTGCCAAAAGAACCAATAGATCTGTTTTGGAAGAAGTGCAGCCAGAGTGCTCCTTAGAGGTCAAGATGGCCAAACTTCATCTCTCATACTTCGGATGTATAGGAGAGACAAGTCGCTGGAGAAGGATATCATGTTTGGTAAGGTGGAAGGTCAGAGAAAAAGAGGAAGACCCCTAATGAGACAGATTGGCCAGGTGGCAGCATCGATGGACTCAAGCGTGGTAACAGTAGTGAGGGTGGCCCAGGATTGTGCAGTGTTTCATTCTGCTGTGCATTAGGTCGCTATAGGTCAGTACCGACTTGGTGGTACCTAACAACAATAACAAAGACCATGCTGATGAGGGCTTAGAAGAAAGTGAGGAGAGTTGTAACAACAGTAATGGTATAGACAGTGAGAAGCAGCAGCAGAGAAACTATAGCAGCAGAACTAGGAGACCAACACGAGACGGCATGGGCATCAACCATAAAGTAAGAGAGCTGAGCACCATCTTGCAGGAAGTTTTCCTGCATACAGTCTTCCTGCAGTCTGCAGGAGGTTTTCCTATAGACTGGGGTGCATCTAGGCACATGTCTGAGGAGTTAGGCTCTCTGACCTAAGGAGCTAGATAGACATCTGAGCACCTTCAGGCCAAGGCTTACTAGTGGAGTTGGGTGCTTTGGGTTCTTATCAGCAGAGCTTTGTAACACTTGCTCTAATAGAATCGAGAGCACGCTGGCCTCTTACAGAGACCAAGGAACCAGAAAGCAGAAGCTGAACAGAAAAGGAGCATGAGCCTGGTGTAGCACTGTGGGTTAATGCCCCGGAACGCAAGGTCAGTTTGAACTGCAAGGTCAGTGGTTCAAGCTCACCAGTCGCTCCTCAGAAATTCAATACCGGTTGCTATGAGTCGGGACTAACTGAACAGCACTTAACAACAATAACAACAACAGTGGGAAGCAAAGATGTCTCCGTTTTAAAAAGTAGGACGTTGACATCTGAGTTCCCAAAGGGTGAATGTATTACCTCTGAGGTTTCTAAGGATGAGTCCTCAGTTTCCGATGTTTTAAAGAGTTCGATTTTCACCGACTAGGTTCTGGAATGTGGGACTGCCATTAAGATGGGACTACCAACCAAAGTTAAGGAGGTAAAGAGCCAGGCTCAAGGAGACTGAAGTTTGGCACCTGTCAGGGCCTTGGGAGTGGGGGTCATCATTAAGTTGGACTAGGAAAAGGGGGCAGCTAAAGCCCGGGGAGCAGAGTAGCTATTCCACCTGGCCTGGAAGGCAGAGTTGTTGGGCCTCTACCAAGAACTCAGATAGCATGGCCAGCACCAAAATTAGGGACATTGTCTAGATAGATGGTCTCAGAGAACACAGGATGATTTTTAACCCTAAATTGTTAACCTAAATTGCTAAAGTTTAACCCTAAATTGCTCCATTGGATTTTAAACTTCCTTGGTGCCCATTCTCCCATCTTTCCCTCCCATTGCTTCCATTTGTAATAGTAATGTCGACCTTATACCTGTTTTGCAAGTATCTGAAAGCAGATTACTTATATTCTAGATTCACAAATGAATAGAAATTTTTGTCCCAGGTTGGAACTTTGACTTGGCAGGTTTTTGGATAATATAATGAGATTAGTGCATTTTCAGAGATACACTTGTTAGTTGTACCATGTTAGGTGTGAATATAACCTCATACTTTTCTATACTTAGAGATTATGCATCATTTAAGAAGACATATACAGGTGCCAAGTTGGAAAAAGGTGAACTGTGATAGTTAAGGCTTTCTGTCAACTTGACTGGGCCAGGATTTTCAGTGGTTTGATAGTTAAGACATAGAAATCCCCTATAATGGGATCTAGTAAAATATATTTATCTCTATAAAAAGGTCTGCTATGAGCAGCCTGTCAACTGAAAGCAGGTTTCCTATAAGGAAAGTGGCCTACAGCATCTTTTATTTTACAATGATAAAGGAGACAGAAGTGATCATAGAAAGAGGGACATACTGCCACCAAGAAAGAAAGTCTAGGAATGGAGCGCAAACTGAACTTGGGTCCAGGCACGTTGAAACTCCTAGATCCGAGACACATGGGGATCTCCAAGGAATGCTGAACCTACAGTTGCTGAAAGCAGACAAGGATCCTTCTACAAAACTAGCAGCCTGGATTCAAACTTCTAGCCTCCTAAACTGTGAGTAAGTATGTTTCTGTTTGTTAAAGCCATCCCCTTGTGGGATCTCTATTATAGCAGCACTTCATAACGAAGAGAGCCAATAAATAAGACTTAAAAGTGTCTGTTTTTCTTCCCATGCTCCTATTCCACAATCCCGTATCCTAGCATGGTCTTTGTGGCCAGGAATGTGAGCTACGGACTATGCCTAGTGATTAAGGAAACACCAGTAGACCTGGTGAGAAGGATTCCTTTACACTGCTCATTCACAACTAACATTCCATTGTACCACTAACCATCTATGAACGGTACCAGAAAATTCTCAAGTCCAAATGAATTCACACATAAGTGAATGTGTGTGTGTATGATTATGAGTATATTCTGAGACACGTATTTCTGTAGAAATGTTATTGCAATCAAAAAGGAATGGTGAAACGTCATGTTGTTGTTGTTGTTGTTGTTATGTACCGTAAGTCAGTTCCGACTCATAGCAACCCTGTATAGGGTTTCCAAAGAGCAGCTGGTGGGTTAGAACCACCAACTTTGTGGTTTAAATCAACCTTGCAGTCCCATGTTTATCCTACAGTGCAACAATGATGTAAAAACCATCAAGAAAGAAAGTTTGCTCGAAGATTTAATTTACATTCATAAGCTGTGTGCCATAAATGGAAAAATAAATAGTGATAGAAAAGAACGACTCTTCATATGGAAAATAGCTGAATCCTGATGTGGTATTGTAGAACAAGCACTGGACTGCTAACCACAGGTCAGCAGTTCAAACCCACCAGCTGCTCCTTGGAAACCCCATACAGGACCGCTGTTAGAACTGATTTGACAGCACTTAACAACAACTACTTATCTGCCTTTCTTCAATTTCTACAGTGCATACAGATGGCCCTATGGATTCAGGTATTGAGTACTCAGCCTCTGAAATGAGGGTAGGGGAGCATGTTTACCAATGAAAATATAGTCTTCTATCTTTAAAAGATAGATCAGTAAAGTGCATTTTGTGCATAGATACATACATGCCATTTGTTTTATTCCTTTGATCCTTCTAGTGGAGGCAAAGGCCAGGCTTTGAAATAGCAAATTGCTTCAATAAATGTTGATATAAAATCTAAAGACTTTAAATTTTAAAGTCACTTAACAAGACACTAAATTGTCATTTTCTCTGAAAGTAGATGGGAAAATACTGCACTGGGAATGACAAGATGCTCATGTGACCATTCACTTGGACAGGCCTTACCTTTTACTATGCAGTTGGATTCTTGTCCAGTAAAGAGGTTTCATTGGCCGACAGGGCTCTATTGGCTGCTTCCTGCTAACTTTGTCTTGACTGGTCCCTAATCCAAATAAACCAGCTGGCAATGGAGGAGGAAGGAATCCACACGCTTGGGGGATTAGTAAAGTGCTGCTGCCAGCTTGTGGTGGGAGTAGGGACCCTGATCCAAGAGGCAGCGGTGGTGGTGGGGGTGGAGGGACTCCTGTCCCGGGTGGAGGAGGAGCTGGAGCAGGTGGAATCCCCATACCAGGCAAAGGAGGAGGAGGAGGAGGAG